GTTTTAAAGTAACAAGGCAATTGCTTAGACTATTACATAGTGAACTGAGTACTATCTGTGTTTTAAAGTAACAATTTCAATTGCTTAGACTATTACATAGTGAACTGAGTACTATCTGTGTTTTAAAGCAACAATTTCAATTGCTTAGACTATTGCATAGTGAACTGAGTACTATCTGTGTTTTAAATCAAGTTCTAATCAATTTAAAAAAGGACTTAAGTATCAAAAACTATAAAACACAAAAAACCATTGAAATCACCAAGCTCTCTAAATCAATCATTCACTAATATTCATGGTCTTAAAAGTAACTTTTCTTTTGTTAAGTCTTTTCTCTTGCAAACTTCACCAGACCTACTTACTCGTTGTGAGAATAATTTTAGTTCAACTGTCTCATCTTATTATCTTTGTGTTAATGGTTATCTTCCTTTAATTTGTAAAGACTCAAATGGTCACATGCTTGGACTGTGCATTTACTTTTGTAAGAATTCACCCATTTCTCAGGAAACTAGGTTTGAATCCAAAGACTATTTTTTTATGTGCTTTCGTTTAGCACCACTTCCCTTAATTACCTTTCTCTTTGTTCTATATAGTACTCCTTTGTCTCAAGACTGCACTCTTTTCAATATTATTTCTGATCAAATTGACCAAACCCTTTCTCTTTATCCTTCAGCCAATATTGTTGTCGTTGGCGACTATCACACTGAATGCTCATCACACTGAATGGCTTGTCAGTGACTCTGCAGGCGTTAAGGCCCACAATTTTTACCTTTCTCAATCTCTAACACAAATAGTCAACTTTCCAGATAAACAATAGTTGCTTTCCAGACAATCCGAATCATTTACCTTCTCTACTCAACTTATGTCTTGTTTCTGATCCAAGTAATTACTCAGTTTCTCCACACTCACCCTTAGGAGCTTCTGATCACTGTTTGATCTCTCTAAAACTGTTATCTCATACTTCTTTAACATCAGAACCCTCCTATCACTGTACCTTACAACTACCTTAAAGCTGACTAGGACTCTTTCTGTGATTTTATTCGAGCTGACAAACATACTTCTTATGTAATATCTTGTAATATGACTGACAAGGAATCTTTTATTTCTTCTTGACCATTCTAAGTCAAGCCTCACTTTTCTCATGGGTTTTTCTCTCATTGCGGGGCTGCAACTTCCAATTGTAACAACTACCTCAATATCTATCAGCAAAACAATTCTCCAGAAAAACAGACATTTGTTTACTATTGCTAGAAACCATTGTAAAAAGGTTTTGTCTAATGCCAAAGCCTGCCATTCTCAGGTCACAAAATCTCATATTTCATCTCAAAAACTGATAGATATTGAGGTAGTTGTCACTCCAACTTCTATATCTAAATTGATTTCCTGATTCTATTCTTTATCTCTATAAATCTCAAATCCTTTCTTGTATGGAATATTGTTGCCATATCTGGAGCGAATTTTCGAATGATGCCCTTTCTTATTTAGACAAGGTGCTCGAACGCATTCTAAACATAGTTGGACCTACTCTTCCAGCCAACCTCCAACCATTGTCTTAATGTTATTTCTCTTTCTCTTTTCTATAAATACTACGCATCTATAAAAGCTAGCGCATCTTGTGTCATTTACTAAAATTAATTCTCATTATCTTGATAACTTCTGTGATTGTTCCAAAGAACTTCTAAAATTCTTTATTCTTGTTCCTATGTGCTCCCAAAGTTCTTTGGAAATAGCTCCCTTCATCTTGTTTTCCTAATTCATATAATTTGCAATCTTTAAAGTCGTCTTTTAATCCTTGTCTGGCATTAATAATCTTCATCTTTTCTCTTCCAGTAACTTATAACTCTAATAGTGGTTGCTTGCAACCTTGTTGGAAATGAAGATATTTAAAAAAAATAAGTAGTAACACTCCTCGCATGTTCTACCTATTTTTCAGTAAATGTAGCAGTACTTCTCATATGTTCTATGTATTTTTCAGAAGATATATGCAAACAGTAAAAAAATACCAAATGAATAACTTTTATCGTATTTAAAAAAAAACACACTAAAACATAAATAAAATAGATTTTTATTATTTATGTTTTTATTTTTGTAAATAAAAATATTTCATTGTATCAATTACCTTTTCTGTGGTGTTTTTTTAAAAAAACGATAAAATATTATTAGTTTTCTTTAATTAAATTTAATAGTTTTTAAAATAAAGTGAACTTGGTTTTTCTCTTTTTTAAGCACAAAGAGATGTTTAGAGTTGTTTTTTACCACAAATGGTAAACTTAGATTTTAAACTATAAGAATATACATATTCAATTTTAAAACATCATTATTTAACTGGACAACCTTTAGAGTCAATAACAGCATGGCAACAATGTGGCATATCCATCCTCGTGGCATTTTATCCTTAGCATGACAAAGCATATTGATCTTATTATACACATGCTAATCTTCTTCCATAATATTAATTCCATAACTTCTTCAATACAAAGAATAGGTCCAATACAATTACGGCTGAAGCAACCCTAAACCATAATATTTCCACCACCATGCTTAGCAGTTGGAAGTATACACTTTGGATTTAATCTTTTACCTGCAGGATGTCAAACATACTTAATTCTATCCAATCCAAATAGTATGAACTTAGGTTCTTCACTCCTTCTGCCAACTGATTTAAGTCCAATCTAAGTGTTGTTTTATATATATTCTTTTCACAAATGTTTTTTGTTTCTTATTAATTCAATATTGTTTAAAGTTCTTTTGGCGTAATATACCTAAGAACATAAATTAGGTTTACAAATATCTTATTAGTAACTGATAAAATCTATCTATAAACTTTTTAAAATCTTTATCAAAAGTATTACATTATATACATAAAAAATAAAATAAATTGTGACAAACAAAAGATTATGTGATACTATTGAATGATAGCTGATAAATATAATGTTGCAAATAAAAATAAAAGGCCTATTTGCTTAAGTTAGATTTCTGAAGACTTTACATTTAATGAACTTTTTTTTTTCGATGGCTATTACAAGATTAAAGTTTGGCTGTTACAAGATTAAATATGAAAAAGTGACACGATAACAAATCCTATCAAAGATGAATTGGTTGTAATCTAGTTTTCAATACAAAACTTAAGAGCTTTCTCTTATGACAATGCTAGCGATAAAATAGGTAAAAGTTAGAACTACAGGCTTGGACAGAAATGGCGTGCGATTGCATACTGTAACTGACCACGCTTATGATTTTTTTCCTTGTCAATTTGATCACAGCTGTTTTAATATTTTAACAATTTAAATGCAATAAAATAATTTCTACGTTATGAATAACTTTTAAACATCTTTTCTAAAAAATTTATTTTATGCGAAAGCTTTAAATAAAAAATTAGTTATAATGATTGTTTAAAATTTTTGCATTTTGTGCAAATTAACAAAAAATGTATACATTTTTTTTATGTAGGCATGTTTTTTTTATGATAAGTTTAAACATTTGAAATTATTTTTTCATGTCTTTCTAAAATGTTTTTAAACAATTGTTTTTTGAATTTTTTTTTTTATGTTACTTTAAATTATGAATAAGTTCAAATCTTTTTGTGGCTAGTTGTTAAAAACACGTGTAGGCACATTTTATATAAACTAGATAAAGAATATAAAATAACTTTTTCTACTTATATAAGTATGTATTTTGTTGATTGATGTAAAAGTTTTGAAGTATTTTGCAATGTTTTTTCTTACAATTTTTTTTTTAAATCTTTACATGTTTAAATTTAAAAAAAATTTTTTTTTTTACTTTCAATTACAATAGGGATGAATAAGTTTAAACTATTTTAATCATTTTTTAAATTAAGTTCATTACTATTTTTAAAAAATCGCAATTAAAAATGTAACAAAAGTAGTTTTCACTTTAAGTTTACGTTTTTGAGTTTTATTTTAGTACTTATATATTTTCTTTTCTGAAGGGTTTGTTTTGTTTTTTCTTTATTTATTTTTTAACTTTTTTAAAATTTTCTTCATAATTAAATATAGCTTTAGCAGTTTTTTTTTCAGTGCATTTCTGAAATGTTTATATCATCAAAACATCTAGTATGTTTATATCATTAAAACATCTAAACAGTTGTGGTCAAGTTGCCAAAAATAAAAGTCATTTGCATGGTCAGTAATAGTGTTCGATCGCACACCATTCCTATCCCAGCCTGGAACTACCTCAGAAAATATTGTGCAACCTGAGTTTTTATATCTTAGTTCTAACTTCATTTTTGTTAGAAGAACTTTAGAACAAAATATAAGTAATAGTTTTTGAAAATTTATTTCTTACTTTTTTTTTTATAAACAATTGGTAAAACAATTAATATTCTAATAGTTGCAGATAAATAATTTAATAGACAAAAAGAAACTTAAAAATGTCAAAAAAAAAAATGTTTAATTTTTTTTTTTTTTTTTGAGCAAAAGTAAATTAAAATTATTAAAAACTAATGAAAAGTAGCAAAAAATAAATATAGATAAACTAGAACTATGCAAAATAATATGGTAATAATAAACAAATGTAATAATAAATACTTAAGAATTATTAAAATTAATGTTTTTAGTGATCACAAAATTACATTTTCTAAAAAAAAATTATTTTCAAGATTGGTGTTTTGTTTACTTAATCATAAATCAAAGCATCAAACTAAATAAACCTTCAAAATTAAACAACCTTATTATATAAAATTTTTTAAAAACAATAACAAAAAAATTAACCTTTCAAAAGTGCTTCGAGCACGAGCTTAGAACACTCAAGCGAACCTTCAGTGTCAAGAGCTTCAAGAAGTTTTACAACATTGTTATCAAATTTACGCAACCATTGTTTTAACATGTGAATGCATGATTGCCTGACCATATCAGATCTTTCATTCAGACCAAAAGTTAGCAAACTAATTCTTTGGGCAATAGTAAGGGCGCGTACAGAAACCTTTTCACTAAGAGTCAAGTAAGCGGCTTTACGATTCAGATCTTTGATATCTCGAGTACGAACTAAAAAAATGTATTCAAAAAGTAATTTTAAATTAGATTTATGTTTTTGCAAGAGATTTCGAATTACTACTCAAAAATTATTATTTTATATATATATATATATATATATATATATATATATATATATATATATATATATATATCTATCTATCTATCTATCTATCTATCTATCTATCTATCTATCTATATATATATATATATATATATATATATATATATATATATATATATATATATATATATATATATATATATATATATATATATATTATAGATCATCCAGGTCATGTTTTAAAAATCCGGAAATTCGTTAGGGTAAAATATCTGGAATATATTTTCCTAATAATTTTGCTTTTACCTGAGTTGTTTTTAATTTTTTTTTGAAAATGCTTAAAAAACAAATATTTATCAAAATTTATACTTAAACTCATAGGTATAGAAAATGTTTTGGATATCCGGAATTCCGGAAATATCTAGAATCCCTGATATATATATATATATATATATATATATATATATATATATATATATATATATATATATATATATATATATATATATATATATATATATATATATATATATATATATATATATATATATATATATATATAAGGGATGTCAAAAAAAAAATTTTTTTGAATTAAATGTTGCAGTTTTAAATATTGTTTCTTCGATTGAAAAAAACTTCTGTGCAAAATCTTTTGGATAATATTTAGAGGTTGCTCAAGGAAAATAAAAATTTACTGTGTTAAAAGCATGCGCCGCAACAACAATATTTAAAAAACTTGAGTTATAGTTATGATAAATAATTAATCATTTTCAAAAAATTCTTTAAATAATGCAAATAACATTCAAATGTTGCACTATTTACAAAAGCAAATAACATTCATATAAAGCACTATTTACAAAGGTTTGGTCTGTAGCAACAGTGGCATATGTCATCAAGATGCTTTTGCAGCAATCTGGAATGCGTTTTCTATTGTCCACAACAACTGGCATTAGTTTCTGCATTTCAGATTCAGTTTTGGTGATGGATTGATTAAATGGGCTCATAATAGCAACAGAACGCTCAGCAGTATCATTGGCAATTTTCACAGATTTAACAATTACTTTAGTATAGCGAAATTCAGCTATTTCCTCCCAGGTCTTTGGATCGGTTCCAGAAAAAATGGTTACATCGAGACCAAGTGACTGCAAAGTAGCAGTTGATGATGATGTAACAAGCTCATAAAGTTGCTTCTTTTCCAACTTGTTTAATTCTGCTGCTGGACACTTTAAACCCCTAACACTCCAATCAGCTCCACTTTGAATCATAACTTCAACAATCAACTTGTTTTCTGTGTCACAAACCCTGTCAGAAAATAATGAAAGTGGAATCATTTCTGACCCAAGGTACCAAGTGTGATTTTGAAGCTTCTTCATAGCAGCATTTGAAATGAACTTGTTGATCTCAGAATATTGTTTAATTCTTGTGAAGATCATCAGATCATTTGCTGCAGCATCACTTGCAATTGGATAGGCAATCCATGCTGGTACATAGATATGAGCAGCAACAATACAAAATTTGCACAAGTTGTTCTGTTCTTTCATAGTCAGCTTGAATTCATTTCTTAAGAGGTATATCTTCATACAATAGATGACTTTAGCCATCCATCTAGCCATGTGATAAGCTCCTGGCATGCAAAAGCGATACTTCTTGGTAGCATAGTCTAATAACGGAAAACCCAAAATTAAAAGGCACAGCTCGATCATCTTATTGTAGTCTTCTTTTGGTAAGTGCGAAGAGTCATCTGATAAGAAAGCTTCAGAAAAGAGCCAGCCTCTGATCTAAGTTGCTGAACCTGTGGCTCAGCAAGATAGGCTTCATTTAATGGAGCATAATTGGCTTGATTTATGCTTGGCCAACACTTCTGAAATCATTAAAATAGAACTATGTTGGGCCCACTGCTGGGTCCAAGCAAAACTGAGTATATTTCCCCAAATAAATTGAATAAATAAACTGATTCGATCAAGTGTGGATGATACATCTGGAAAAGACAAAATTTCATTGAGAATATGTGGCTTTTTATTTTTAGGACTTTGTTCACAGTCAGTTGATTGGGTAACTAGTTTTTTGTGATAAACCGGAATTTCTATTTCATAATCATCATTGTCATCAGGTATGTCACTGATTTCTGTTGCTTTGCTGTCACTATCACAATCAAGACTAAAGTGGCTACAGCTAGGGGTAAGGACAGCATTTGCGTGTTGACTTCTCTCTTCCTCATTCTGCTTTCTTTTTATTTCTGCTTGTTGACACTCTGCTGTTCGCTTTTCTTGTTGAGATAATTTTACATCTTCTCCAGCCATCTTCATCATACGAGCATTCTTTTGGTCTTCCAGAAATATTTTATCTTCATCAATTTTAATTAGCTTGTTTGCATCCTTGTGTGAAATGTCAAACAGTAAATCTAATTTGATACTAAGTCTTTCTCTCTAGCAATCTGTGACTTACTTGCTCTTCCTTTATTCTTTTTAATTAAATTATAATCATCAACACATGCTTTCACTTTTGATAAAATATGAGGCTGGTAAGTCATTTGAATTCTGGTCTTTTTTCCAGATGTGACCTAAACCATTAGATGTTGCTTATGCACTGGCTGGAACTGTTTGTTTCTATGCTTTGTGGTAGTGGAAAAACGTCTTTAACACATTAACCATCGTTGGAAGGACATTGTTTGATAGATTCTTCTCAGGTTGACCAATCAACCATATTGCAGTTCGATTACGTGTCTAAGAAAAATTTAAAGAACTTATCTTTTCACTCATTTTCAGCAACAAGCTAAAATTAAATGATACCAAATTAAACTCAACTTGAGAAATTAAATATTAATTTGCAAACATAATTTAAATATGTGATCAATATTTTGATATGAATGTGATGAAATCATAAGCACTAAAAAACAAGATATTGGCATAACAGCTATAATTATTATTTTATAGGATTAAAATAAATAAGAACCTAAAAATCTTTAAATATTTCAGTTGTTCAGCAAAAAATTACAATTAATGAAAATGTTTTTTAATCAAAAACATCAGATAACAAGATGGCTGCTTGTCACATAACCAAAGAAGTTAGCTCATAAAAGACAATGGTACATCAAATTTGTTTAATATTTTATCTAAATTGAACATGGGATAAAATTAGAAAATTATTTAAGGCGTAATGCTATTATTGTAAAACTAAAAGCCATTGAGCAACCTCTAAACATTAATTTATTTTAATTATCTTTTGCACAGTAAATTTTAATGCCAATTGGCACAAAATAAACTAGTGTGCATTCAGATCAGAGAAAAATGTTTTTTTCCAGTGTTTATGTGAACACCCCTAATATATATATATATATATATATATATATATATATATATATATATATATATATATATATATATATATATATATATATATACTCTTGCATGTCTCTTGCGTGGCATCAAAAAAAGTTTCCCATAAACTGTAGTTTTAAAGAGCGCGTTAATAAACCAGACTAGAAAAAGTTTTAAAAATTAAATTTTTTTTTTTAATTGATAGACTGCCTGGCCAAACCAAACCCTCAGTCGATGCAGCAGCACTCTCTTGCGAGTCAGGCTATTTGTCAGTCGTTGTAGCAGCACTCCCTTGCGAGTCAGGCTATTTGTCAGTCGATGTAGCAGCATTCCCTTGCATCAGGCTATTTGTCAGTCGATGTAGCAGCACTCCGTTGCGAGTCAGGCTATTTGTCAGTCGATGTAGCAGCACTCCGTTGCGAGTCAGGCTATTTGTCAGTCGATGTAGCAGCACTCCGTTGCAAGTCAGGCTATAAGATAGTCGATGTAGCAACATTTACGCATGTTTTAAAAATGTTTTTTATTAAATCAATAACAAAAACACCACTAATTAAAAAAAACTTTCTAGTCGTTATAATTGCGGTTTTTTAAAAAATTTTTAAAAAACAATTAAATTTAATGTACTTCCGCATAAATTAATTGCTTTGACATTTCGATGACAATCAAAAACAGCTTAAGAGACGAGGTAATTAAAATTGTAGTCGTAAGAGACTTTTTTTACATTAAAATGCTCTTAAAGCTACACTATATGGGTATATATATATATATATATATATATATATATATATATATATATATATATATATATATATATATATATATATATATATATATATATATATATATATAAATATATAAATATATAAATACATATATATATATATATATATATATATATATATATATATATATATATATATATATATATATATATATATATATATATATAAATATATAAATACATATATATATATATATATATATATATATATATATATATATATATATATATATATAAATATATAAATACATACATATATATATATATATATATATATATATATATATATATATACATATATATATATATATATATATATATATATATATATATATAAATATATAAATACATATATATATATATATATATATATATATATATATATATATATATATATATATAATATATATATATATATATATACACACATATATATATACACATATATATATATATATATATATATATATATATATATATATATATATATATATATATATATATATATATATATATCAGGCTTTGTTTTAAATAAAAAATGGCATAGCTCATTAGCTCTTCGTGATTTTGATGTCATAAAATTATCTTAATTTTTTATATTATTTAAGGACATTAACTTTTTAATTACCGCAATAAAAAAACCTTAAGTTAATTACTTTGTCAGCACTTTTTTTTTGTGACAAACAACGATTTAAGTTTCCAAATATCATTTATTAAAAAATATATATACTGTTTTATAAGATGTTGATTAAAGTTTGTAATAATGCTTTTTCATTTTTTTGATAAAATGAAAAAACATTTCGTTATAAAATCATTATAACAATAAATTATCAAGTCTGTATAATACGCC